CTGGCGAGGCGGGAGTTTATTGTCATAGGGTACATGCGCCGCAGCTCTTTGGTTTATGCGGCAAAGAAGGGGGCGGTGGTTACTTACGAACTTATTTCTAACTTTACCTATGGATGAAACCGGCACTTTGACCGGCAACCTAAGATTTGCACAAAACTGTATTTCATGTTATTTGGTTTAGTTTTCTTGGATTTTTTTCATTCCCTCGCACATTCACGCTTGGTTCTAGGTGAGAGTGGACGCCCCGAGACGGCCTCTACCCCGCAGCAGCGGGCGCCAGCCGGGCCGGCGTTGGCGACACAACGTAAAGTCCCAGCACCTACTAGACAAACTGATTCGCGCTCTTATCCATAAGTCTCACACAATGAGGTGGTGGGACCAACAGCAACAAGGCATCTTTGCCGCAATGGGCGAGGGTTGTGAGTCCACATACTACCTGCGCTCGGGTGAAAACATGAGGCCGCCCGCATACAAGTTTGTACACGCGGTGAGCCTCAACAGCTCCAGCAAGCTGAACCACAAACCCCAACGTGAAGAAACAGAACGTGCCACATGGGGTACGAACAGCTACGAGACAGAGACATCCCGCGTTAGTGACGATTGGGCATGTGATCTCCGAATGTAGACCGCACAGCGGCATCCTGCAGCTGCGGCTCAACCGCAGACTAATGCATCTAAGGAACGCGGCAGCAGCTAACGGATGCTCTGTACTCTACGAAAAAAAAGGCAGTGGCAGGCCGGCGTCGCCCGGACTTAGTACTGGCAAAGGGGCACCAGGCAGCGGCTGACAGCGGTGCCTACCAAAAATGGAGCAAAAATATAATGACACTGGAGCAAAAAAAATAATGACAAAGTCGATAAATATCACGAGATACGCTCCGTGCTCCTCGCCAGGTAATACCGATATGTCAAGTCCCTGCAACTCGTGATAGGTGCCCTGAATGAGTGGTGTGAGTGCTGCGGCGCTAAAAAAAATGTTGCCGAAGCAAGGTATTAAATCCACAAGAGAGAAAAGAATTGCAGAGGCAATAAATGGAAGCGCCACTCGCTATGATACTCATTCCGCCCAGAAAGACCTGATCCCCGCTGAGTACCGCCTCGCATGCAAGTAAGTGCTAGGGGTGTCTCAAGGGGACCGCGCCTGCCTATGTCCAGTCTAGGGGAGGGGAGACCAAAGTGGAGTCCTCGCCTGCACACAACCCACACCAAGAACTGACTAGTGCGAGCCACCCCAAGAAGGCGAGTGCAGTGTTAGTGGTAGTGCGAAACAATGTCGCGATAGTGACGGATGTGCGAAGGATTAGAGTACGTTAGATATAGATTAATAAGTGTAGAGGGGTAGATTAGACGCAGCAAGGACGCGATAGAGAAGCATACGAAGTAGAGTTAGGTAATAATAACTTTAGTGTTTGGTAGTGTTAGGATAGTAAGGAAGTGAAGTGCAAATAAGTGATAAAAGAAGTAAAACAAAGGAGAGAACAACCTCGGACTATCAACACAAAGAAGAAAAGCCTAAACCACCTTGAGCATTATATAACATGTAAAGCAAGAAAAAACAGGAAAAATGTAATCATGGCAATAACAAGTGGTAACAACCCGCAATGTACTGTAAAATATTATGTCGATAGAAGAAATAGATAAAATAAATGGCATCTCTACACTGCATTTAAAAGCTTCAGTTTTTCCGTAGCCTCGGGACGAAATATGTCGAGTTAATGATTAAATTATAAATTAAGAAAGAATAGAAGCCAGCGACATTCGTTATGTTGTATTCGTCTGAATTTTGTTCTTGAGTATTTATATATTTCTGTATTTAAAGACTGTGATGCTGCAGAACAAGGAGATTAGTTGTCAAATACGTTTTTACAAATAGTAAAATGATTAACATTAACATTGTACTTAAGAATTAATTGTTTCAAGCGACTAGAAAATAAAAATGTGTGTACGTTAATGAATTCATTGTTTCGAATGCATTATAATGGGATATATTGGATGGCATTTATTTCTGGATGTTTCATTTATTTGTAAAATTATCCTTGCTTGACTGCATGTTGTGTTGGAAATTTAAAAAAATGTTTGTAATAGTTTTCGTACGTTTACTATTTCGTTTTTTCCAAAAAGCAACGTACGAACTTGGCAGCGAATATGAAATCTTTTTGTGGGCTTTCTGCATTACTGCTCTCCAAGGCATCTATAACTGTTTAATTTGTTAATAAATTATAAAGAGACGTCAATAATTATTATTTTGTCGGGTTGTGAGTCTTCATTTAAAAGAAATAAAGCATTTAAGAATGAAGTTAAAATATCTTGGAGATATGTCGAAAAAGTATAGTATGTATTCGCAACAAGCAATAATGTTCCATTAAGAACGTCTTAGAAGAACTTTCATAAAACCACAACACTCCAAACTGAAAAACAGTTCAAATAGAACTGGCAAATATGGCGCTTTTAGGAAGAATTGATAAGAAAATATGTGCCTATTGTTAGCAGCGCCCATCGCTGCATGCGCGCTTTGAGGTCAGCTCTCATTGACTGAGATGTTGATATAGACAGAAATGCGGTATCATATTATTACACAACCATTACTAAGTATGTGCTGTTTTAGCCCAACTAGTTTCTCTAAACGTTTGGTAGGAATGGCGAAAAATGTACTCTATAAGATGAGATAAATACCATATTGCTCTACACTTTTGATTTTTTTAAATTACAAAAATGTAATTTTTTTGAATTGTCTCTCTTCTTTTGCAGCCATACAATTACAGAGCACAGGTTAGTCTTCAGAAGCCCCTAGCGCCTTCTTGTGAGATTTGTCCTTGGAAAGTAAGAATTGTCTCTCACGTCGTTATATTTTAAATTACCGACGGTTTGTTCACAATATTATATTTATGAGCAATCTGCTTTAAATAATGTTATATGAAGTTACTCGAAAACTCAATAAATTTCTGTGAAGATGAGTTCTAAAAAATTCCGCATTTCTAAAAACGCTCAAACGTCATTTTCTCAAAAACGGCTCCAAATTTCTTCTTCAAACATTTCGATCGGTTAGTGCTAACTGCATTGTTTAAAATGACAATAAATTAATTTTGGTGTCTTTTTTTAAATATTACACAATGCAATAGTTTTGATATCTGTCACGTCGCTAATATGCACATTTCCATCAATTTGTAAACATTGTTCCATTTATGAGAAAGTTCTTAAAATGACTTCCATTGAAGCCAAATTCGCCATTTTCTTAAAAGCAGCTACTATTTTAAAAAAATGAAAATTGCCATTTAGGACGAGAGTTTACTTTTCTGTAATACATCTAAAGTAATATTTCATTTCTACTGTTAGGAAACCGAAAAACTGAGTAAATGAAAAAAATGTATTTTGCGCGGCGATATATGGCAAAAAAATGTGGCAGCACCGACAAGATAGTGGGGATCAAAGACATTAGAAAACTGGTACAAGAAAGTCCGTGCCATTTGTAGCTCCACTAAATTTTGGCCAAGATATTTTTAAAGATTGCGTAAAGCATTTTATAAGATATTGATAATGTCAACCAGTCAGACTGTTTCAGTTAGTGTGTGCATATCGAGGAGAATCAACGCTCACGAACGCTGGAAATCCCCATCGATTAGAGTTTTTGTTCCGACAGCGGCGGCTACTTTCTAACCTTGTCATCTGTGGGAATCCGCAGTGATGCATTACTCTGGGCCAATTAAAACATCATACTCAAGGTGACATAACTTCAAGTGATCCGTCTTGTTTTTTGGTTTCTTTCTTATCTATATTATTATTATTATTATTATTATTATTATTATTATTATTGATAGGTACATTTATTATTTAGAGAGCAACATTTTGTTCATAGGAGGGCAATTCATGCATGAGGTGAGTGGTATTCCCCATGACCTTTGCATACAAATGCCAAACGATAATAATTACATTATCTGTCCTGTAAGTTACTTTATCATACCCAATATGGTAAACGTTGCTACGAAAATATAGTTGCACAATCGAAATCCTGAAGTCCAAATTAGACTAATAATACCATAGGCACACAAAAAAGTAGAGGTGCTACAGAATTACACAGTCTTTCTCGTTTTAGATTTCTATTTTCTATCTTTTGAGCTAGATTTTAGGACTTGCCACACTCTCTTGCCAGCTGCCATCTTTCGCCTCCAAAAGTACATTTGTTAAACACTTTTCTCAATTTTTCGGATTCTCATTAGTAGAACCGAAATTTACCAAACTTTAAGAATATTAAAGAAAAGTAAAACTTAGTCCTAAATAGTAATTTTAACTAAAAAATTTGAAGCCGTTTTTAAGAAAATGCTGTTGCAGCGCTACTGAAGCACATTAACTCACAAATGTTAGAGTGATTACAAATTTCTGGAAATATGCATATTAACGGCGAGGGCCATGTTCAAAAAATACAATTGTCTAAGTTCGGAAAAAACAAAAGAATACCGCAAAATTAATTTTATGTCATCTTAAACAGCGTAATTAGCATTATCCATAAGGAAAGTTTGAAGAAAAAAATTGGCGCCGTTTTTTGAGGAAATGGTATTTGAGCGTTTCTGAAAATACGGGAATTTGAGCCCTTTCTCAGTGAAAACTGTTGGGTTTCTAAAAACTTCATGTTTGTACTATCCATATCAAACGTTTAGGAAAATTGGAACATTATTTGAGAAAATCTTCTTTTTGTTATTTTTTAATATTACAGTATTGCATGCAATATTGCGCGAAAACTACTAAAACTACTCGTCGACGTGCTGAAGTCGGAATTGCGCCACCACCGTCCAGTTTTTTCCACCATCTGGGAAAAACCACCGTGGCATTGTAAAATGTAAATTTCACAGTTGTTGTTGCGTTTTAGAAAAAAATTGGAATATAGTCAAGCAATTATGGCTTCGGATTTGGATTCAACGCGTCGACTTACATAGAGAAACATGTGTCAAGTCTTGGGTGTGACAACTTTTGGCTTCTGTAGAGTAAAATGCTACAAGAGATCAAAATCTAGTATTCGCATGTGTTTTTTGCGATTAATAATTTATTGTGGATAACCAAAGTTGGTGATAGAGAAATACTGGCCAGGAAGGCAAGGGTCGGAGAATCGTACGGAAGTCCCCGTTAGCCCTCGCAATCGCGCCCTTGGGGGTGTGGTCGGAAGTGCGCGCGGCGAAATGAGAAAAAAAGAAAGTGGGCCGGCGTTGCTCAAGAAGAGATCGCTCAACAGAGAGGAAAGGGCGCTACGGGAGTTGCATCAGTGGCCGAGGCGACGCGACGCCTCTCGTCGCGGTGCGGCGCGGCGCGGCGGTCACCGGCGAGCAGGCGACGCGGCACGCCCACAGCCGCGCCCGCCGCGCGGCTTTTCTGAGCAACGCCCCCTCCCATGATTCCAACAACAGAAAGTAATTCAGGTCTACGAGAGACCAGATACGTCGTCCCCGCGATAAAAAACATTTCAGGTGAACATAGCTTTTTCGGTCATTGACGGGATTCGGATCATTCGTCTTCGTTGTTTTCGTATCGAGAACAATAGTAACGCATTGCTGTTTCGTAACCCCACGCTTCGTAATATATTACCAGTATTTAAATAGTTATGACATTTACGATCAACGTATTGATAAAATATGGGAC